AAACTTTTCCAGAACAAGTTCCCACATCATCTGTTATAACAGGAGGTGAGTGTGATTTTTCCAGATGGAGAACAGGTGCAGGACTGTGAGGTCGGTGATTTGCAGTGTCGGGTCGTACAGCGAGAGTCAGCGAGGGCATTTCAGGTGCGAGAGAGTGAGGATTGACACTCTCTTCTGTGAGCTCTGGCATTAGAAGAGGCATTTCACAAAAAGGAGCAGTCTGGATTTCAAAGTTTGTTCTGTTCTCCAAGGTTTCTGAATCCTGAAGAGTAGAGTGTAGACGGATCGAGCTTTGCTCCTTGTAAAGTGCTGATGTGCTGTAATCGATGCTGCTCTCAGTCAGGATATCGGCGACCGTCTCTTCCATTTCAATTTTAGCCTGTTGGGAAACACTTTCCGAAAAAATAAACCGCAGCACCAGTGGAGCTACGTCTCTGTAAATGGGTCACAGGAACAGAAGGTGTACTTATTCCTGAAACAGATTCACAGTCTGTTTGATTAGGATTTTCAGCAGTTCTTTCTGAGTCCAAGGTCACATACACAGTGATGTCATTCTCTGAGATTAGTTCAGCCCCAGGCTTTGCTGTGGAGACTGTGTTTGTGGATACTCGACCTTCATCCAAATTTACAGACGCCTGGGAGCTTGCGTGACCTGGATCAGGGCTACTCTGACTGGATGTGGAGGTGAGTGGAGAAGTCGAGAGTCGTTCAGTAAAGCATCTTTGACTTGTACGGTAGAGTGGGCCAGCAAGTCACTCTCCACTCTTGTTACTTTAACAACACACATTTGTCGACATGGACCAGTGAGCCCTAAAAAGACAAAAACAAAACAAGTGTCATGAAACAATAAAACATGTAGGTTTTGAACACACACTACTGTTAAAAGTTTGGAGATTTTGATCATGTTTTTAACCAAGGCTGCATTTATTTGATAAAAAAAAAAATACAGTGAAAACAGTAACATTGCAAACTATTAAAAAACTCTTATCTATTTCAATGATGGCAAAAACTGAAATTTCAGCGACCATTACCCCAGTCTTCAGTGTCACATGATCCTTCAGAAATTATTTGAATATGCTGATTTGGTGATGAAGTAACATTTCTTATTATTATCAATGATGAAACTGTGATGCATTATTTTTCAGAAATCTTCGATGGATAGACAGTTCAAAAGAACAGCATTTATTTTCTAAAAATAAATCTTTTGTGATATAAATAATTTTACTGTTGCTTTTGATCATTTTAATGCTTAATTTAAATTGATCAATTTGAGACTGATACTGTCGAACACAAACAATATCTGTCCTTAATGTGACTGTTAACAGATTATAATAAAAAAATCAACGCCACAGAAAATAAAAATTGTATTGTGTATTTCTGAATCGGAGAAAAAAAAATGTGGAATGTATTGTGAACTTACAAATAATAGAGATACTAGCCTTTTAAGTCAGTTGGGAAATGCGATTCTTTTTGATGTTTCACTGGGTCTTCCTCTTCCTTGTCTTTTTGATTCCCCTCTACTCCTCCGACTTGCTCCCTTCACTGGTGAAGTATCCATAGTCTTCAATCGTTTGGAGCATGTGCGTGGATAATGGAGACTGTTGATGAAAAATTTCAATCAGATGCTGTCAAAGATTGTGAATTGAGCCTGTCAGTAAACAACCATAACCAAATCGCTATAGTGATTGACCTCTGCATCAAAGATGTATTATTAGTGGTGCTTGCTGAAAGCAAGGCAACACTATTACTATTGTGTTTTTTGAGTCGGCCCAAAAGTTTGGCACGCTACTCCTCCCGCAGTTTTTGTCACACACCCATGAATGAGGTCTCAAAACGTGCGGAATATTCGGGAATGGTGTGCTATGACTTTTCTAAGCGATCGGGGGTACGATGTTCGCCCGAAGGGCGAACAAATTTCCCAAAAATCCCATAGACTTAACATTGCGACAAACTTTGACGACTCATAGCTCCGAGCGAGAATTTCACAGAAGCCTGCGATTCACCACATTTGAAGAGGCTGACAGGCTCTGTAAGAACATACCTCACAATGGGGTAAAAGTTGCACCCCTGGGGGGCAGGAGCTGCCCAAATTTCCCCATAGACCCCAATGTTATTAGTGGTGCTTGCTGAAAGCAAGGCAACACTATTACTATTGTGTTTTTTGAGTCGGCCCAAAAGTTTGGCACGCTACTCCTCCCGCAGTTTTTGTCACACACCCATGAATGAGGTCTCAAAACGTGCGGAATATTCGGGAATGGTGTGCTATGACTTTTCTAAGCGATCGGGGTACGATGTTCGCCCGAAGGGCGAACAAATTTCCCAAAAATCCCATAGACTTAACATTGCGACAAACTTTGACGACTCATAGCTCCGAGCGAGAATTTCACAGAAGCCTGCGATTTACCACATTTGAAGAGGCTCACAGGCTCTGTAAGAACATACCTCACAATGGGGTAAAAGTTGCACCCCTGGGGGCAGGAGCTGCCCAAATATTCCCCCATTGACCCCCATGTTATTAGTGGTGCTTGCTGAAAGCAAGGCAACACTATTACTATTGTGTTTTTTGAGTCGGCCAAAAAGTTTGGCGCGCTACTCCTCCCGCAGTTTTGTCACACACCCATGAATGAGGTCTCAAAACGTGCGGAATATTCGGGAATGGTGTGCTATGACTTTTCTAAGCGATCGGGGGTACGATGTTCGCCCGAAGGGCGAACAAATTTCCCAAAAATCCCATAGACTTAACATTGCGACAAACTTTGACGACTCATAGCTCCGAGCGAGGATTTCACAGAAGCCTGTGATTTACCACATTTGAAGAGGCTGACAGGCTCTGTAAGAACATACCTCACAATGGGGTAAAAGTTGCACCCCTGGGGGGCAGGAGCTGCCCAAATTTTCCCCCATTGACCCCAATGTTATTTAAAATTTCTAGTATAGCATTATACTATTCCAGGAAAAAGTTTGGCGCACTCCTACGTCCACAGTTTTTGTCACAGACCCATGAATGAGGCATCAAATCGTGCGGCCTATTGAAGAGAAGTGTCCTATCACTTTTATCAGAGATCGGGGGTACGGTGTTCGACCCAGGGGCGAACAAATTTCCAAAAAATCCCATAGACTTAACATTGAGACAAACTTTGACGACTCATAGCTCCGAACAACGATTTCGGAAAAATGTGTGATTTTCCACATTTGAAGAGGCTTGCAGGCTCTGTAAGAACATACCTCACAATGGGGTAAAAGTTGCACCCCTGGGGGCAGGAGCTGCCCAAGTTTTCCCCATTGACTTACTATGGTGAAGGACGTCCCATCAAATGCATGTGTTTTTCCTACTATGGTAAATTGCATAGGGATTTTGTATTGAACATAGCTCTGGATCACAGTGTCATAGAGACAAGGGGGCGGGCTCATTTTACTCAGACGACCAATCAGTCTCTCAGGATCATTGTGATGCTATCAAGCCACGCCCTAGCAACCATATAGAGCACCTTAGCAACAACTCCCATAGACTTCCATTGAAAGAGATCAAAGGGATATCTCCGGATAGAAGTGTCATACAAACACAAGGGTGGTCTCGTTTGACTCGGGGTAGCAAACAGCCAATCATGAATCACCTCAACAATTTCTGGCCACACCCTAGCAACCATTATCGAGCACCTTAGCAACCAAATTTTAAAGAGGGATATCTTCCATTCTGAATGTCATACAGGCTTGGGAGTTGTATTATATCAATTACACTGACAAGCAGCCTTTGGAGATTCATGATTGGCAGCTGCCAAGCCACTCCCTAGCAACCAAAAAGAGTACCCTAGCAACCATTTTGCAAGGCCTACATCTCTGCATCAGAACATCGTATAGAGATGGGGGTTGGTTTACACATTCACATTGACTTTGGAGCTTCATGATTGGAAGCTGCCAAGCCACTCCCTAGCAACCAAACAGAGTACCCTAGCAACCGTTTTGCAAGACCTATATCTCTGCATCAAAACATCGTATAGAGATGGGGTAGGTTTATCCATTCACATTGACTTTGGAGCTTCATGATTGGCAGCTGCCAAGCCACTCCCTAGCAACCAAACAGAGTACCCTAGCAACCATTTTGTAACAGCTATATCTCAGCATCAGAACATTGTATCGCGATGGGGTTTGGTCTTTTGACTCATGCTAGCACATAGAACTTTCAAATGTTAAAACATGCTAGCAGTGAATAGCTACATGCTAATGTTGATTAGCTAAGTGCTAAATCATTCCATGAACATTATAAAAACTCTATAGTAACCATATGTGAACAATACCAACCACCTAGTAACACCATAGCAACCACCCAGAACACCCTAGCAACCACCTAGCAACACCATAGCAACCAACCAAACACCCTAGCAACCGCCTAGCAAACACCCTAGCAACCGCCTAGCAACCATCCAGAACACCTTAGCAACACCCTAGCAACCACCTAGCAACACCCTAGAAACCACCCAGAACACCCTAGCAACCGCCTAGCAACACCCTAGCAACCACCTAGAACATCCTAGCAACCACCTAGCAACACCCTAGCAACAACCCAGGACACCCTAGCAACCACCCAGAACACCTAGCAACCACCTAGAAACAACCTAGCAACCATCCAGAACACCTTAGCAACACCCTAGCAACCACCTAGCAACACCTTAGCAACCACCCAGAACACCCTAACAACCACCTAGCAACACCCTAGCAACCACCCAGAGGTGTCAAATCGACCGGCTCATTTAGGAGAGGTGTGCTATGACTTTTCTAAGCGATCGGTTGTACGATGTTCGTCTGGCGGGCGATAAATCGGCCGAAAAAAGTCCCATAGACTTAACATTGGCAACAAAATTTGTGAGATCATATCTTTTGACCAGAAGGTCGTAGAAACTTGGGTTGGGCTCTTTTGACTCGGCCTATCATGCAGCTAACAATTAGTGACATAATAACTTCATATTCATGCCCTAGCAACCACTTAGGGCAGCCTAGCAACCACAAAACAACATATAAAAGACATATCTCAGCTCCAGAAAATAGAAGAAACATGGATTTTGCCTTTTTTTGACTCAGACTGTCAACTAGTCTTTAAATATCATCTTATAAACTGTATAATCACACCATAGCAACCATGTAGGGTACCCTAGTAACCACACAAACACACGAATAAGCCATATCTCAGCCCCAGAACATCGTACACACATGATTGTTGGCTCGTATGCAATTCTGTAACACACCCTAGCAACCGGGTGGTGAGTTTTGCCACTGCAAGCACCACTTCACATTTTCCTCTGGAAATGTACATTCTAGTTTATTATTCTTCTTCTTCTTATTATTCTGGCCACTTTTTGGTTCGCTACTCCTCCCGCAGATTTTGTCACAGACCCATGGGTGAGGTGTCAAATCGACCGGCTTATTTAGGAGAGGTGTGCTATGACTTTTCTAAGCAATCGGGGGTACGATGTTCGCCCCAGGGGCGAAAAACGGCCAAAAAAAATCCCATAGACTTAACATGGCGAAAAAATTTGACGAGTCATAGCTCTGAGCGAGGATTTCGCAGAAACTTGCAATTTACCACATTTGAAGAGGCTGACAGGCTCTGTAAGAAAATACCTCACAATGGGGTAAAAGTTGCACCCCTGGGGGGCAGGAGCTGCCCAAAATTTTGCCAAAATTCCCATTGAAAATTTTCTAGTATAGCATTTTACTATTCCAGGAAAAAGTTTGGAGCACTCCTACGTCCACAGTTTTTGTCACAGACCCATGAATGAGGCATCAAATCGTGCGGCCTATTGAGGAGAAGCGTCCTATCACTTTTATCAGAGATCGGGGGTACGGTGTTCGCCCCAGGGGCGAACAAATTTCCAAAAAATCCCATAGACTTAACATTGAGACAAACTTTGACGACTCATAGCTCCGAACAACGATTTCGGAAAAACGTGTGATTTGCCACATTTGAAGAGGCTGGCAGGCTCTGTAAGAATATACCTCACAATGGGGTAAAAGTTGCACCCCTGGGGGGCAGGAGCTGCCCAAAGTTTTCCCCATTGACTTACTATGGTGATGGACGTCCCATCAAATGCATGTGTTTTTCCTACTATGGTAAATTGCATAGGGATTTTGTATTGAACATAGCTCTGGATCACAGTGTCATAGAGAGAAGGGGGCGGGCTCATTTTACTCAGACGACCAATCAGTCTCTCAGGATCATTGTGAAGCTATTAAGCCACGCCCTAGCAACCATTTAGAGCACCTTAGCAACAACTCCCATAGACTTCCATTAAAAAAGATCAAAGGGATATCTCAGGATATAAGTGTCATAGAAACATGAGGGTGGGCTCGTTTGACTTGGGCCAGCAAACAGCCAATCCTGAATCACCTCAACACTTACTGGCAACGCCCTAGCAACCATTGTAGAGCACCTTAGCAACCAAAATTCAAAGAGGGATATCTTCCATTCTGAATGTCATAGAGGTATGGGAGTTGGTTTATATCATTCATACTGACAAGCAGCCTGTGGAGTTTCATGATTGGCAGCTGCCAAGCCACTCCTTAGCAACCAAACAGAGTACCCTAGCAACCATTTTGCACGACCTATATCTCTGCATCAAAACATCGTATAGAGATGGGGGTTGGTTTATACATTCACATTGACTTTGGAGCTTCATGATTGGCAGCTGCCAAGCCAGTCCCTAGCAACCAAACAGAGTACCCTAGCAACCATTTTGTAAGACCTACATCTCTGCATCAAGACATCGTATAGAGATGGGAGTTGGCTCTTTTTTCTCATGCTAGCAAACATGACTTGCTACATGCTACACATGCTAGCAGAGAATAGCTACATGCTAATATTGATTAGCTAAGTGCTAAATCATGCCATGAATGTTATAAAAACTCTATAGTAACCATATGTGAACACTACCAACCACCTAGTAACACCATAGCAACCACCCAGAATACCATAGCAACCACCTAGCAACACCCTAGCAACCACCAAGAATACCCTAGCAACCACCTAGCAACACCCTAGCAACCACACAGAACACCCTAGCAACCGCCTAGCAAAAACCCTAGCAACCAACCAGAACACCTAGCAACACCCTAGCAACCACCCAGAACACCCTAGCAACCACCTACCTACCCTAGCAACCATCTATAACACCCTAGCAACCACCAGAACACCGTAGCAACCGCCTAGCAACACCCTGGCAACCATACAGAACACCCTAGCAACCACATAGCAACACCCTAGCAACACCAGAACACCCTAGCAACCACCTAGCAACACCCTGGAAACCATCTATAACACCCTAGCAACCACCTAGAACACCTTAGCAACCACCTAGCAACACCCTAGCAACCACTCAGAACACCCTAGCAACCACCTAGCAAACACCATAGCAACCACCCAGAACACCCTAGCAACCGCCTAGCAACACCCTAGCAACCACACAGAACACCCTAGCAACCACCTAGCAACACCCTAGCAACCACCCAGAACACCCTAGCAACCACCCATAACACCATAGCAACCGAGCGAGCTTTTTGCCACTGCAAGCACCACTTCACATTTTCCTCTGGAAATGTACATTCTAGTTTATTATTCTTATTCTTATTCTTATTGTTCCGCCGTTTTTCTGTTCGCTACTCCTCCCGCAGCTTTTGTCAGAGACCCATGGGTGAGGCGTCAAATCGACCGGCTTATTTAGGAGAGGTGTGCTATGACTTTTATAAGCGATCGGGGGTACGATGTTCGCCCCAGGGGCGAAAAACGGCCCAAAAAATCCCATAGACTTAACATTACGACAAATTTTGGCGACTCATAGCTCTGAGCGAGAATTTCGCAGAAATGTGTAATTTACCACATTTGAAGAGGCTAACAGGTTCTTTAAGAAAATACCTCACAATGGGGTAAAAGTTGCACCCCTGGGGGGCAGGAGCTCCCCAAATTTTTCCCATTGAAAATTTTCTAGTATAGCATTTTACTATTCCAGGAAAAAGTTTGGAGCACTCCTACGTCCACAGTTTTTGTCACAGACCCATGAATGAGGCATCAAATCGTGCGGCCTATTGAGGAGAAGTGTCATATCACTTTTATCAGTGATCGGGGGTACGGTGTTCGACCCAGGGGCGAACAAATTTCCAAAAAATCCCATAGACTTAACATTGAGACAAAATTTGACGACTTGTAGCTCCAAACAAGGATATCGGACAAACGTGAGATTTGCCACATTTGAAGAGGCTGGCAGGCTCTTTAAGAACATACCACACAATGGGGTAAAAGTTGCACCCCTGGGGGGCAGGAGCTGCCCAAAGTTTCCCCATTGACTTACTATGGTGAAGGACGTCCCATCAAATGCATGTGTTTTTCCTACTATGGTAAATTGCATAGGGATTTTGTATTGAACATAGCTCTGGATCACAGTGTCATAGAGAGAAGGGGGCGGGCTCATTTTACTCAGACGACCAATCAGTCTCTCAGGATCATTGTGAAGCTATTAAGCCACGCCCTAGCAACCATTTAGAGCACCTTAGCAACAACTCCCATAGACTTCCATTAAAAAAGATCAAAGGGATATCTCAGGATATAAGTGTCATAGAAACATGAGGGTGGGCTCGTTTGACTTGGGCCAGCAAACAGCCAATCCTGAATCACCTCAACACTTACTGGCAACGCCCTAGCAACCATTGTAGAGCACCTTAGCAACCAAAATTCAAAGAGGGATATCTTCCATTCTGAATGTCATAGAGGTATGGGAGTTGGTTTATATCATTCATACTGACAAGCAGCCTGTGGAGTTTCATGATTGGCAGCTGCCAAGCCACTCCTTAGCAACCAAACAGAGTACCCTAGCAACCATTTTGCACGACCTATATCTCTGCATCAAAACATCGTATAGAGATGGGGGTTGGTTTATACATTCACATTGACTTTGGAGCTTCATGATTGGCAGCTGCCAAGCCAGTCCCTAGCAACCAAACAGAGTACCCTAGCAACCATTTTGTAAGACCTACATCTCTGCATCAAGACATCGTATAGAGATGGGAGTTGGCTCTTTTTTCTCATGCTAGCAAACATGACTTGCTACATGCTACACATGCTAGCAGAGAATAGCTACATGCTAATATTGATTAGCTAAGTGCTAAATCATGCCATGAATGTTATAAAAACTCTATAGTAACCATATGTGAACACTACCAACCACCTAGTAACACCATAGCAACCACCCAGAATACCATAGCAACCACCTAGCAACACCCTAGCAACCACCAAGAATACCCTAGCAACCACCTAGCAACACCCTAGCAACCAAACAGAACACCCTAGCAACCGCCTAGCAACACCCTAGCAACCAACCAGAACACCTAGCAACACCCTAGCAACCACCCAGAACACCCTAGCAACCACCTACCAATACCCTAGCAACCATCTATAACACCCTAGCAACCACCCAGAACACCCTAGCAACCGCCTAGCAACACCCTGGCAACCATATAGAACACCCTAGCAACCACATAGCAACACCCTAGCAACCACCCAGAACACCCTAGCAACCACCTAGCAACACCCTGGCAACCATCTATAACACCCTAGCAACCACCTAGAACACCTTAGCAACCACCTAGCAACACCCTAGCAACCACTCAGAACACCCTAGCAACCACCTAGCAACACCATAGCAACCACCCAGAACAACCTAGCAACCGCCTAGCAACACCCTAGCAACCACACAGAACACCCTAGCAACCACCTAGCAACACCCTAGCAACCACCCAGAACACCCTAGCAACCACCCATAACACCCTAGCAACCGAGCGAGCTTTTTGCCACTGCAAGCACCACTTCACATTTTCCTCTGGAAATGTACATTCTAGTTATTATTATTATTTTTTTTTTTTTTAAATGCTCATTAAGATGACATTCAGGAATTTTGTCCAGTCTTGTTGGAACTGGGTGGCCATTCACCAACCATCCAGAAATCGTCAATGAATACAACTATTTGAAAAATGAGTCTTCATGCATTTCTTAATCCATTGTAAACGTTTCTCTTTGAGAGCTTTGGTTAGGTGTGGCTGAAATGTAACTGCCAGCCTGCATGGAGAGGTTCTCATAACTCCAGAGACACAAGTAACAGTGCTCAAGCGTGGCTATTTGTATAGCAGCCCTTTTAATGCAATTAAATTATTTGACAGAAACTTCCGTGCTCTAAATCTCACACATATCTTTAAACAGTTTGACAATCTCTATTCATTTTTGCTAAATATTAAATATCAATCTAAAAATTAAATAGAAGTCTAAATATTAAAATATTATCTAACGCTATGAGCACTTAGTGCTGCAAATAGTGCTGCCGTCTTATTATAAATGATTTATCCATCATATCATTCAGTTTTTCTTTCTTCATCAAAAATACGATTCCTTCCCTCGCCCTCAAAATGGCATCTGCTGTCTTCTTGACGTACAGAATGTCTAAAATCCACAACTAACTACAAACTGGCATTCAGATCTGCCTCCATTTAGTTTACAACACCCAACTTACATAGATTCAATTACCATTTTTTACTCATTCCAGAAGCCGTTTCACTCGTATATACGTTACAATAGGAAAGCAAAGACCTTTGAAACCTCCGTTTCATGCCGACTATTAACCGACTTAATTGTTGCTCAAACTGTTGTAGTTGACCTGAAAGAGAAAACTGACCATAGAAGACGGCAGTATACATTGACACTAGCTATAGCAACCCTTGCTGAAACCCTGATAATACCTTGTAGTGGAGGGTGCTTTCCTGCGACGTCTCTGAAGCCAGCTCTGCAGCTCTGGTGTGGTGCTGGGGGTTGCCAGGGTGTGATCCAATGAGCATGAGTCTTTGCCTTGTGTCCAAGACTGATAGCGATCCGGCTGGAATCGTCTGACAAACGGATCCATGGAGATCTTCACCATGTCCTTGCTGCATGTACACTGCAAGAGGACACAAAAGTAAAGTGTGAAATGTTCACTGGCTGAAGATGAAGGAACAGTAACATGAAGTTGCCAGATTTACTTCAGCTGTTATTATGTGCTTTTTAGTACCTGCGTAGCAACTTTTCCATAATTAATCCACCGGAGACTGGCAAAATTGGTGGATTCAGCACAGTTGAAGCCGTGGTTGAAGCCAGCGTGGTAACCATAGGGAAATGTGATCATAAACTCCCCTGCTTCCTGTGTTATCTATAAACATATATCAGTTTATTGTGAAGACATACAAGGGAGAACTTAAGACACAGCAAAATAATCCTAAAACTAAAATGGTTGTAAATTGATTCTGAAAGACTGTGGATTGCCTTATCAAATGGTATGCTGTATTTCTTTAGTACAGAGGGGGATATTAGTGTCATCTTGTGTCTCAGGAACGCCTCACAGCTTTTAAAACTGTTAGGAAAGAAACCTAAGGACAAACACACATTTATTACACAGTACAACACAGTGTATATATGCAGCACATTTCTTTAAAAGACAACTTTATAGTTCTACGTTAAAGTTTTTACCTGTAGCGAGACGCTCCAATCTCTTCCCGTGTTCTGGAGGAATGGCATACCTGTGAAATTGGTATATTTATTAATTTATTAAGAAATGGGAAAATTCCTGGTCCTCAGGAGAGATACGTGCTGAAGAAACACAGAAAACCACAGCGAGCCCTACCAGGATTTGGGCTCGCCAAAGTGCAGGTAGTTAATGCTGTAGAGGTCCATGTCCTCCGTGTGCCAGGAGAAGCTGGTCTTCCACATGCCAAAGTACAGATAAGGTGTGTTTACTCCCTGAATGGACACACCACAGTCCTCCTCAATTACGTCCAAGATTGAGTTCAAGTGCCCGATGTTCCATTCTTCAATGTCCTGAGATAAGAGGGGTAGTAACAGTATGTCAACTCCTTACCAGTATACAGCACAAATAGGAAAGTAACATGGCAATACCCAGACATTTTGGATTTGCTGATTGTTAATTTCCTAATTTTTTGTGGTTTTTTTTATATTTTTAATGTGTATTAGCTCAGATGTATATTAAAATACCATGTAAATATCCTGGTAATTCATTATGGTAATCATTCATGGTATATTTTAAAGCAGTGAAATTTCACAATACTCATTAATAATTTCAATGACAGCAAAAAAAAAAAAACTGAATGAATTAAATTAATAGCAAATAATATTCTATTGAACACACTCCCATTTTAAATTTATAATAATAGTAGTACATTTCAAGAGCTTTTCTCCAGCTCCATCCTCACCTCGTCATAAAGCGTGCCGCTCACATCAGCACCATAGATGGGCGAGACAAATGTGAGATTCTTCCAGTACTTCCTCTCCAGGTCATCATAGTTCAGGTAGCGAGGTGTGCAGTACCTGAGTAGGTAAATCACACATCTCCAGATGGCCTTAACGGATATAGGTCAATCGATGATTTAAAAGAAAACTCATTGCAGAGTGCTTTAGAAGTCCAGCACATAACAATAAATTAAACAAGGAACCAAATTAGAGGTGTTTATAAGCTGTATGCCATTTCATGACATTGGAATTTGCGGCACAATACAAAACTGATACCTACAACAACCTGCTTATGTAGGTTATGGCTGACCACTTGCTGACAGAATCCGACAGAATGTGCATACTCTGCATAAAATATATACTAAAAGAGTAGAATAACAGTATGCGACTTTGAACCAGACATGTGCATTTTTGAGTTTGTCACTTACATGTCACTGTTGGCCAGTCTACGGAATTCTTGCACAGTGAGTGGTTTCTTCTGGATGTTGTACTGAGTGAAGAGTCCTGATTGGCCAGCTACCATTTGCTGAATAGGTGCTTGGATGACAAAATCGTCAATATCATCGTAATTGCGACGTGGCTTCCAGCCCTTGGGTGGAATTACCTGTGTAAATAATTAAGATCTAAATGTAAGAATTAACACGCACACAAACACATACATACATACATAGACATTATTATTATTACTATTTTTACTATATTATTATAATTATATTATCTATTAGAGTTGTGAGCTTTTAGTATCCATCACAAGCGTAAACATACAAGCATACCAACCTTGGCCAGGCCAGCACGATGTGCTCCCTGAGACTCCATATACACCAGGTATTGGTTGAAGTCCTTAAACTCCTCCATGGTAGGTCTGAAGGTCATGATCTTACAGGCAGGGTTAGCCAGGGCACTTTCCCCAACACCTGCCATCCTGACCTCTCCCTCCAGCCTCCCAGAGGATCTACCTGTGGAGTGCACCTTCACAATATTGATCATGCAATAAAACATACATCCTAGTTTGGGTATTTACAGCTGGAAGTCCAACAGCTTACATGCATATGACTGACTTTATAGCCATTGTAATTATTTTCATAGAATGATTTTGCTCCAGATAGTACATACTGATATGAACTGTGCAGATAATTCATCTGATTTTAGGATTTCTAGGATTTCATCACTGCCAGTCAACCCAACACATATCCTCAAGCAGTGTGTATTTACATCAAACTTCATTTTTTAAGAAATTTACCATTAAATCATATCTGTGGCATTAAATCGGACCTATTATCTTAATTATATCTTAATATATCTTAATTAAATATAAATGCACAATGCAGCAAGCCTGTGACTATCATTTACAAACGTCAAGTAGAATGAGTTTTAATGCAGGCCCACTCCCATAATCTGCAGATAAAACATAAACCAGAAAAAGACGAGCAAGATAAAGGTAAAATATACATATCAAATCTCGTCGCATGAAGTGTAAACTCCCTGCGTTACGATTTTTATCGTTCAAACTATATTGCTTACTGTACCCAGATAGGTTTATTTACAGTTAGCGCATTAGCTGCTAGAGTCACTATATATTAAATGTCAACTAGTGTCATTGTCAAAGTTCTTCTCTGGGCAAATAATAACAATATGAAGCTACTTCTGTGCGCATAATACATCTGTGCTCTGTTAGGAATATAGATTAGAAATACCTCAGTGAAGTGTGATCGTGGGCACGCAGTCCAGTCCCTTTAAATCCCCCAACTGTACTTCATGACAGCTCTCTTCTCTCGCACGATTTCATGTCCGCCTCTCTTCATATCGCTGGGGCTTCAGGGAGACCAGCGCCACCTGGTGGCCTGTATGTATGTCATACATTGCAATACATCACAACAACTTTTTAATCAGAGGGGTGAAGTTTCGTTCTGGGCATTGAAAATTATGGAAGCAGACGCACCACAGCTATTAGGGAAGACTGTTTGTCTAAAAAAGTACACTGAGTAAGTAAAAGAGTGAAGAATAATAGGTCTATGGATTTGGGGGGAGCCCGCTCTGTCTTCTTAACTGAACAGTGAACACACCTATGCTGAACACACACAAAACATAGGCTACATAAACCTACTTATATTTATGCATATGCTGTGCTATTTATGTGATAGCACAGCATATAAAAACTGTTCGCAAACGTTGTGATGTGAAGATGAAGGCGCCTCCCTCTGAGGATATCTGCACGTCCCTTTGGTTTGTAAAATATCTTCATTTGTTTCGTTAGATATCTTGATTTCGTCTGAAGATAGAGAAGTGTGCGTGTGTGTGTGTGTGTGTGTGTGTGTGTTGTTGTTGTTGTTGTTGCTGTTGATAAACTAAAAATAATAGGCCTATAATTTTATTGAACAATACATGTATTAAACAATAAATTAAATAAAAATGTAATTATATAAGAATTTTTTTTTCACCGATGCTTTTGCACAACAATCAACGTAAACGCGCACACCTAACAATGGCATAATAGGCCTTCAAAAGGTGCATATATGCGTTTATTTTAAGTTTCAATGGTGCAATCGAGAAACAGAGAGAGGGAGAGAGAGCGAGGAGAGAGAGAGAGAGAGAGAGATCAAGCGCTGCTAGCAGATTAAACGGTTCAACTGAAGTGCGTCTCTGAAACTCCATCGGACTAAGCCGTCTTCATTTTATTTATTTAACGGCCCAATGACTCTTCGCAAGGCGATTTATAGTTCGTGAAAATGTTACTCTTCATGTAAGGTGAGTGATAGCACAGCATATAAATATTGTTCGCAAACGTTATAATGTGCAAGATGAAGGCGCGTCTATGACTTGACGAGGTGAATCAGACAGATAAAGGGAATTAACGCTAAGTGAATGGCAGTTTCAATCGCTCTATCAGCGTTTAGAGAAACTTGTGTATGTTTGACTGCATAACTGCAATAAATAGGATTTTTGTTTTACATATGCTTTTTTGTTGTCGCTTATTTGTTGCTCATGTCTCACGTCTGACCAATAAAACCATGTTTTATTTATTTTATTTAACAGTAATAGCATTACTATTTGTTTTTATAGTCGTCTGATAAAGAGATTCTGCACCAAAAGCAATATTATTACATAAGCCATTTTGTTTATTTGAGTGAGAAATGAAATCAATGCTTCCTATGAAATAGAGGCTGGTTTTATATATATATATATATATATATATATATATATATATAGCCTATATATATATAAAAGCCCCATTTCATAGGTACATCACTGTAAAAATAATTCTATCCTCCCTAACCCAAAATTTTCTAGTGTCTGGTCAGTGGTCACATTTAAATTTTTCACTTGGCCCAAGTGCAAATTTAAATTTGATCACTTTACAGAATTTCACTTGGGCCAAGTAAAAAATTTAGATGTGACCAGTCACTAGAAAATTATGAGTTGGGAGGTTATACATTTTTTATAGTAGCCTAGTGTCTGGATGATTCAGGGAATTTGGCAGTTGACAGGGATCAGTACAATTAGTATACACTAGGTAGCATATTGTCCAAGATCCGCAGCACGTTTTCTAAAACTTCATTCATTTGATTGATGTCCTTGATTGATTTGTAGGCCTACCATTTTTTTTTATTTTTTTTTTTTTTTGCAAACATTACACAGCACTGTTATAAAAATTATAGTGAAAACAAGGGCAGAAATCAGACAGGAGATCCGGCAAGCTTCAGAAAGGGCCATAATTCATTTATGCTGTTATTTTTAGGAGCAGCTGAATACTGTGAATTCTTGATGCCTTGTAATTGTAAACTTACCAAAACAGACCGTGCTTAGATGTCTGTCACTTATTTAAAACCTAATAATCTAGTGATGAAATGCTCAGTAAGATTAAAAAAGGCACATGCACGTAAAATAATGCTTAAAACATCTGATGCAACTGTGCTCTTTGCCCTACCATAACACAGACTTTATATAGCACATCTGTTTTCAGGCATGAAGCAGCATTTTACAAGCAGCTAACAATTGAAATTGGGGGATTTGTGCCAATATTCATTTAAGTGGCTCTTGGAGCAAGAGATCTCCAACAGGAACTGATCTGATTACACATATAAAAGTGACTGAAGCCCCCAGGGCAAATGACAGCTCCGGTTACAGACACCAAATGTAGCACACACATTTGTGCATGGAAAAAGGAAATCATACATCCATCCAAAGACACTGACTTTGTTCACAATTACCGATATTTGGGATTTAATTGTTATTTCTGGAGAGGTATAGAGACATTTACTGTGTCTAGTATTGATTTCATCAGAATTTACTGCGCGTAAACCACAAGAATAGATTTTGTGTATGCAAAAATATCAATTGAAAACAACAACCAAATAAGGTAAAATTAAGAAGCTAAAGTTCAACTAAATGTTTCATTGTCCCTCATAATACAAATGTAAATAATTCATATTAGTAAATGTGATATATTCTACTGTTCAAAAAATGTGTGTGTGTATATATATATATATATATGTGTGTGTGTGTGTGTGTGTGTGTGTGTGTGTGTGTATATATTATCTTTACATTTTTCCGTTTCAAATAAATGCTGTTCTTTCTATTCAAAGAATCCTGAAAATATTGTATCACGGTTTCCACAAAAAATATTAAGCAGCGCAACCGTTTGCATTGATAATAATCAGAAATGTCTCTTGGGCACAAAATCAGAATTTTAGAAGGATTTTTGAAGGATCGTGTAACATTTGGCTGCTGAAAATCAAGCTTTGCCATCACATAGTTGCAATATTTTTTATAAAATTACTGTTTTGATGTATTTTATGATCAAATAAATACAGCCTTGGTGAGCATAAGGGACTACTTTCAAAAACTAGAAAACCTATTATATCAAATGCCTAAGAAAGATTAAGAATAATAGATTTAGAACAATAAGGAAAAAGATTATGTTAATCAATTTGCGAAGTTAATTGTTAATAAAAGTTAGTTATTTTTCTTTGTTTGTTTTGTTATTTTTGGTTGTATTTTTTGCTACTTGAATAAGTACATAATTGAGGTTAGGTAAATACTTGTCAATGGTCACTATGATGTGTATGTGTATATATGCATATGTTTGTATGTATGTATATGTGTATGTGTGGGTGTGGGTGTGTGTATAGATGTATAGAACAACATACTATTAATAACATAACAATTATAAATTGAATGACCATAAGAATTAAGGGGGTAGGGGTATATAAGTTTTACTTTTACTTAGATTTTTATATACTTTCTGTTCCATGTTCGAAATAAAGATTTCAAATTCAAGAAACTCTACTGGAGGGGTGGAATACCATTATTAAGTTATATTTCCTCATATGGTGTTTTGATGATGGTGCGGTGGTGAGCGTTGTCTAGTGCATCAGGCTGAGATTTGGTTACTGAGAAGGATATACAATGTGATTTATATTAATGTTTACTCGTCAAACTATTCAGTGACCCCTTGTGCCCTATGGATGGGGGCATTGTCATCCTGAAAGAGATCACTTGTTTCATCATAGGATAAAGATGATTGCTTAGAACAGCTTTGTATTGATTTGCAGTGACCCTTCCCTCTATGGGTTCAGTCCGGCCTACAATCCCAGCAATCTGCATAACATAGCCAACTTTTGTTTTAATTTGTCACTCATCTGTATATGGGTTGCTTATATATATTTTATGACTCAATGGACTTGTTGTCAAAGTATATAAATACATTGGAGTAATACTATACACATTGTATTATAGAGGCTTCAAATGCAACACTCCTTGGTCTGAACAAGGTTGAAGACCCATGACATAGAGTTTGGTTAGACCTTTATTCTGATGTCAATATAGTGGTCTTAGATTGCAGGACATTTTTCCTACTAGCAATTTAGTTAGTTATTTAGTTAACAATTTAGTTAACTGGTATAATTACTATTTTAAATTTAAATCTCTAAATACATCATAATTAAGAAAAAAGCATCATGAAAACAAGTATTAAAAACGAAACCTTATTAAGTAGTTTGGCATATTTTTTTATTATTAGGCTAATTATTAAAGTATTTATAAAATATTATTATTCCAAGAAACACGCAGAAAAAAATATATAAAGAAATGATATCATAGAGAGGTCCCCTGAAGACCCTCAGGACTGTGTGTCTGCTGCAAGTTCTGTTAGTTGGACTTTTAGTTTGTTTATCGTCAGTTTACTGTTTTCTTTGTTCCAGTTTCTCGCCAATCATTAGTTTCCATGGACACTCATTGATCATTACAGCTGTTCGTTATTTTGTCATTACCTTTGTGTTTTAAAGTTCCTTCTTGTGCACTCTTCATTTGTCCAGTGTTGTGTCATTGCATGCTGGATAGCCTACTTCTCGCAATTGGATTAGCTTTCTTAAGTTTGTTTTATTAATAAATACTTAGTTTTGTAACCTTTTTGAATCATCTTCATCTGGAATAAAATGTGAAACCGAAAGGTCAATGTCTCTTAGGTTATCAAATACTTCGATTTTATGGTTGTAAAATATCATCTGGTGCAACCCCCAAAAAACCTAATTTATGAATTTACTAATGAATTAATAAATATACATACATACATACATACACATATTTGTGCATGCACATATGGAAAATGTTATATATATGTTTTATATATATATATATATATATATATATATATAAACCAAAATAAATAAAGAGAGAGTAAATAAATAAATGAAGAGAGTTATGAAAACTTTGTTAAATGTTGGGAACATTTGAAAAAATAATAATAATGTTAATTGCATTATAAAGCACCACATTTATCAAATTGTTAGTGAGTATATATTATATATGTAATTTTAATCACAGTAAACAATTCTGTATACAAAGCACAAATGGAAAGCATGTGCATAAATCAATAAACCAATAGTCAAAGTAAGACAGATAAATCAAGCTTTTTATAGGTAGAAAAAAGATGATGCATTTCCTATTTTATGCCACACCTCTCTCCTCATGCTAAGACTCCCAGAAGCCAAGATCCAAAGAACAAGTAATGCACACATGCACTGTCACATGCAACTTCCCCCGTTCATCTTTCTATGTTCTTATTTAGCATCTATTTCTCTTCCTTCAACCTTATCATCTTCCCAGCTTTCTCTATCTTATTCTTTTCCCTTCTATCTATACATCTTTTTCTCATTTTCTCAATCCTCTTTAATTCACCATTTACTTATATCCCCCGATCAGCACATGCAGTGGTCAGATCATGCTGATCTTCCACTCTTTCACTGTCTTTTTGTTTTGTTGTGCTTGTGTGTGAGTGGCGAGGCAGCATTAAGATACATTATTAAAGCCTGTGCACTCTGTGGTTCTCTCTCTCTCTCTCTCTCTCTCTCTCTCTCTCTCTCTCTCTCTCTCTCTCTCTCTCTCTCTCTCTCTCTCTCTCTCTCTCTCTCTCTCTCTCTCTCTCTCTCTCTCTCTCTCTCTCTCTCTCTCTCTCTCTCTCTGTAAGTCTGAAAGAAGAGTTTAAGGGCAATGATAGGATTACCAAAGTGTTTAAGGAGAGCTTGAAGGATGCATGCAGTGCTGGGAGCTTCATAAATATGCATCTGCTCAATCAAATTAATCGAATCAATCAAAACCATTACTGTTCTGCAGTGCTAACAATTTTTAACATTTTTTTTTGTGAAGAAAAAAAATTAATTATAAATATTTCATAGGTTCAATATTTTTCATTCATCCATCATAACAACTTTCATTGTTCAACTTCCATCTCTATTGTATAGTTTAAAATTATTCGTTTGAGAAAGACACAGAGGTAACAAAAACGAAATAATGTATCTGAAAGATTCTGACAAGGCATGCTGTGGTTTTGGGAGAAAAATAGCGCTGAGAGAAGGATAAACTAAGGAAAACAGAGAACGAGAGAGAAAGAGAGCTGTGTTCTCTGTTTTTGCACTGGGATACATTAATTATTCAATAGCTAGAAGATGAAAATATTCAGAGGGGACTCCAACAGGCCTGATGGTTCTGTCTCTCTTTCTCTCTCTTAATTTCCTCCTCAGACTTCCATTGTCACTTCAGTGTTAAGGAAGCTGCTTTGTAACTGCTTCTCTATAAGCTTCCCAATACTCAAAATAGAGCATTATAGTCAAAACTAGCCTTTTGAAAACACTAAAGAATAAGCTAACTTTATGCTATTCAAGAGGGAAGTACAGTATCTTTTTAAATCAGATTATATCATTTATGTTTACAAAGCACAAATGTTTACACAAGTTTGAAATCATTATTATAATCATTATAAGTCGTTGTTAAAAGATTCTTAACTGTAAATACCAAAATTGCAATGTAAAACCAACAAGCTGTGAAAGGTGCTGTGACGCTCAGTAAAATGGGTTCAATTGCAAGTAAAATGGTGTTTATTGATAGCAGCATGTTAGAATAGCAGTGAGTAATCAGGTGAAGCAAGTGCCCGGAAGAGTCTCTCTTGTCAACGCAGGTTTGGTGAACAACCCGATCCTCCATGGTGGGCAAAGGAGCGAAAGCAATCCCACTCAAACTCAGAACAGACACAAGAACTCAAAGATAAATATCCTCTGTGGAAGAAGGCAGCGTGACAGGACTGGTTCGCTAAATCCAACGTGGAACTCGACGACAGGCAGGAGACGAGAACAACACTGGAAAACATCCACAACGGTCTGACAAACACTAGACGAAAACTGAGAGTCTAAATAGGCGCCGCTGATCAGATGCAGCTGGCGCCGATGACCAGAAGTGGTAATCAGCGAACACGCCCACACGCACACAAAACAACACAGGGTGAGAAAGAGTCGTGAATTCATGAACCGTGACAGTAACCTCCCCCTTGGAGCACCTCCTGGCACTCCCAGAAGAACTTACTCGTTGATTGTAATCATCAATAGGGAAATGATCCAGAATGTCCCAAGCAGAAACCCAACTTCTCTCCTCCGGAACAAAACCTTCCCAGTTCACCAGGTACTGAAATCCGTGTCACAAGTCCAGAATACGATTGACCGAATGCGTTGGTTCCCTGTCTACGAGTCGCGGCGGTGGGGGAACCGGACCTCCGGATTAATGTGGAATGAACAGGTTTTAATTTAGACAAATGAAAAAATGGGCTGAATTTTCCTGTACGCAGGCGGAATTTTGAGTCAAACTGCCACCAGACTGCGGACTTTGGTGACAGTGAAAGGGCTGATGAATTTGGGAGCTAACTTGTTAGAAACAGAGAGGAGCAGAATGTTCTTGGTTGAAAGTCACACATTTTGACCAACGATGTATACAGGAGGCCTTGACCGGTGGCGATCGGCCTTAGCCTTTGTGCGTGCCCCCACCTGGAGCAGAGTCTCACGGGCTCTGTTCCATGACACCTCTGGACGAAGGCGTGAGTGGAGGGGACTGCAACTTCCAGACTAGGAAAAAACAGTTGTTGGCTCCAGGAGGAAGGATTCTTAGACACCAAAATATCTACAAAACTCCTGCCAAAATTGGGACCCCCTGTCGATCAGGAGGCCATGTAAGCGAAAGACGTGATCTACGACAGTCATCGCTGTCTCCTTGGCAGAGGGTAATTTGGGCAAGGGAATAAAATGATCCGCCTTCGAGAACAGGTCCACTACGGTCAAAACAACCGTCTTGCCTTGGGAAGGCGGTGATGAAATTTAGCGCTATATGGGACCAGGGTCTCGAAGGGACAGACAGCGATTGGAGTAACCCTTCTGGGGGGCGATTAGAAGTCTTACCAGTGCCACAAACTGAGCATGCAAAACAAAACTCAGAATGTTGAGAGCCATCATTGGCCACCAGAACCATTGCTCAACCAAAAAACTAGTAAGGTTTACCAGTACCCAGACGGTACAAAAGAACAAAATCAAAACGACCAAAAAAAAGTGCCCACCGAACCTGTGCCTGGAGTTAAATCTTTTGGCAGACCTGATATAAGTTCTTGTGATCGGTCAAATGACAAAGGACCCCCGACCCTTCTAAACAATGATGCCACTCTTCCAACGCTAACTTGACCGCCAACAACTCTCTGTTACCAATGTCATAGTTATGATCGCGGATGATAGACGATGGGACAAAAACTTCCGTGGAAGAGCTCAGGTGTTCTCGCTGAATCCATGATTGGTCAGATCGTTCTGTGACGCTCAGTAAAACGGTGGATTCAATTGCAAGTAAAATGGTGTTTTTATTGATAACAGTATGGTGGATAGCTGTGAGTAATCAGGTGAAGCAAACCTGATAAAACCTGAGAGTAATCTCTCTTGGCAGCACAGGTTTGATGAGCAACCCGATCCTCCATGGTAGGCAAAGGAGCTTTTAAACAAAATGGGACCATCTTTATTAGCATTGCTGTGGATTAGCACATTAGATGATTGCAGTATTGGCAAAACATTATGCACTTACATTATACAGTTGTAGGAAATAAATAAAATGGAGTAAAAGAAACACAATAAAATACAATACACAAATAAATACTGTTGCTACAATATCATTCCTCATTTAACACCCTGGGGTCGGCGGTTGTGTTTTAAAAAAAAAAATGTGTTGTTCTAAAATAAAGAAAATAAGCATGTGCATTCTGTTGTCTCTCTCAATGTGAAGTTCATTCTAAAACAGAAAATTAACTTTAACTCATTGAATTTTGTCACTGTCACACAGACTTGAGACATACAGGGGTTGGACAATGAAACTGAAACACTGGCCAATGTTGGAGGTTTCACATCTATATGCCTGGCGGCCAATCTTCAGAGTGAAGCGCGGGTGGATCAGTGATGGTTTGAGCTCCAATATCATGACAATCCTGATTGTATTTGATGGACACGACACTGCCGAGGACTACCAAACCCTTCTGGAGGATCATGAGCACCTGATGCTCAAACCGTGTATCAGTATGATCATGCACCAACACACACAGCAAGACTTGTGACAGAAGGGTTTGATGAAGATGAAAGTGACGTTGAACATCTCCCATGGTCTGACAGTCACCAGATCTGAATATTATTGAGGTGTTTTGGAGGAGCGAGTCCACCAGCATCATATAGTGACCTGGACACTGTTCTGGAAGAGAAACGGCTCATAATCCCTCTGGTCACTGTGAAGGACTTCTATCTGTCAATTGGTGCTGTATTTGGATGCAAAATGAGGCCCTCACCATTCTAACAAGTTATTGTGTAGTAAAACCAGGTGTTTCAGTTTTTTTGTCCAACCCCTGTATGTCTTTACAAAGCATGACGTCTCTATTTTTAAATTATGTCCATTATATCAAAAACAAATATTCTCTGTTTAAGTAATCCGTATGAAAGCAACGACATGTACAGCTTCTTAAGTCCGTGCTCATTAGCTCTAATGTGACCAAACCCACGCGCAGACGAACGATTGACATGCAAATCATCCACGTGGAGGAATACAGACCTGAAAACACCCCATCACCTCAAAAACAAAGAATCGTAGACTTCAGTAGCCTACTCCTGTGTTTTTCATCGAAGACACGTTGTGTTTGTGCTGTGCTGTCCTGTTTACCTTGGATTTACCTTAGAAAAATTAGAAGAATGCGATTTGAAGATGAGAACGATTTTTAAGGTAAGACATGTTCACTCATAATAGTAAGCATGTTATCATTATATAAACTTTACATTATAGCAACTAGTCAAACTGGTACCAGACTGAAATGTACTTTATGAAATGAGACTGGAGTAAAAACATGAAGCCTAATGCTCACATACTTGTACACAAGGATGTTTTTATGTTCGATAATAATACACAGAAGCATGATATAAAAGTAGGCTCTGCTTTCTTCTCCTCCAGATAAATCACCCACCGTACCCAAAGCTATCCTTCACTCTGCACGCCAGCATTTACTTCAACACCTCCTCTGCCTGTATTGTGGGGGTGATAAACACCTCATCAACACCTGTCCTGTTCGACCTTAATGCACAGCAGTAAGCCCCAGTCAAATTCTTCCTAAGATTGCAACCTTGAACCGAACTACTATCCAGTTGTTAAGCTCTCGTGTATGTGTCTCAGCACAAGCCCTCCTCGACTCTGGTTCAGCGGGAAACTAAATTTCCACGCAACTCCTACAAAAACTGAACATCCGTAAAAACAGAAGTCATCAAACCATCTAGGGTTAACTGCTAAGCAGAGGTCGAATTTGTCATTTCACCCCCACAATGACACTCTGCGTAGGCTGCTTACACTCACAGGATATCTCCTTTATGGTGCTGGAGGAGTCCACTGCTGAGCTCATCCTTGGTTCCCACTGAAGAGGAGCCCACCTACCAGGTCCACACCATCTTGGACTCACGAAGTCCACGGCTAGAATATCTGGTCGACTGGGAGGACTATGGTCCAGAGGAGTGGTCATGAGTTCCTCGCGAGGACATCCTGGATCCAGCTCTCCTCACTCAGTTCCACGCCGAACATCCTGATTGCTACTCCCAGGCCTTGGGGTAGACCTCGTTGCCATCTTCGTTCCTCTTCTCACACGTCAAGAGCTGCCTCAGAGGAGGGGGGTACTGTTAGGATTCCACCAGCTCCATTCACTCCTCCCACTCATTCACTCATTCCTCCCTCTCGTTCATTATCACCCGAGTTCTGATCACCATCACCTGCACCTCATTATTCCATCTCCCTTTATATTTAGCTCCCGTTCACACACTCATTGTTTGGTCTTGTCTCTGACACACAGATACTTACCTGGCCTCCTTTGTATTCTCTTCAACCCCTGGCCTTCGTATACCATCTTCAGTCTTCAGCCATCCCTCTACAACCCTTCCATGTGATCTTCCATCTGCATCTGCAACAGAGACTCTTATTATCCATCAGCTAAGTTCCCATCTAACTATCATATGTTTGAACACTCACCATATCTCTGTCTGCTTCTGTAAAACCTGTTAATAAACATTGTTACACTTACCACCTGTCTGACTCCTGTCTATCCGTGACAATAGGCTATTGTTATTATTATTTAATATTGTATGTGATATGTTATGTTAAATTATTATTTAAGCCTTACACATGCCTACAAGGCACAACAAACCTGGTGTTCATTATATATATATATATATATATATATATATATGGAGAGACTCAAGAAATGACAACATGTAGAAAGCAGCAGGACATTTTTGAATGGTTAGTTGATGAATTTATGTTAGCTGATATGGAGTTAACTTCGGAGAGACAATTATGGAGACAATTCAAAGTATTGTCAAACAAAATGGAGGCTAGTTAGACACTGCATTGTTCTAGCTAATTATATCTTTGTGTTTATTAGGCAAACATGAAAGTCCATTTAGAAAAAACAAACTGGATTTACCCACCTGTCCAGCAAAAACAGAGCTACCTGAATGTCGAATTGGAAGCCCTTCTGCCGGTGGAGTTCTCGCCAACTTTCAATGGCTTTTCCAATGTAAATTTGGGACTTTGCACATTGCGCATTTTGCAGTCTGTTAATTGGAACGTTGTCTCTTCGGTCGTGTGTCGGCCACATCAAACTTAAAGAGTTCAAATTCTAACTTCCCCCTTCATGCTTCTCTCTCCTCCACACCCTCTTCATGCATAGGCGCACACTGTAAAAAATAATTTTTTGGTTAAGTAAATACTAGTGAAAAAACCCAATGTAATTTACTTGAAAAAGTTAGTTCAGGCAAGAATTTAAAAAACTAAGTAAATTCCATATCAGTACTTATTTCAAGCGAGTATAAATGAAAGTGTAATATCAACTCAATAAAATTAAGTAAAAATTACTCAACTTTTCTGATACTGGGGTTCCCATCATGCACTGGACCTTGAATAATTAATGAGGTTCATTTTTCACTGGTTTCCAGCTGTATTTACACTGTTTTATCATTGATTTTTGTTTTCAGCATTAGTAAATTGCCATTTTGTGACATTTCGAGTCAATTTTTTGCTTAAAACGACACATTCAAACACAAAAACGATCCATCAAATGTTACCACCATTGTGTATTGTCTACCAAGTATTGAGGTGTTTGCATTCACATAAGGGTTAAAGTCTGACATGATGTATATATAAATTACTTAGATGATCTAAGTAAAGAACATACTATAAATGACTAATAAAATTCAAGATAATTGTTTTAGTGAAGTGTAATACAAAGGCAAAGGAAATCGGTATTAATCAACCTTTTACAAGCCGAGTTAAAATTACTTATTTTTTGTAAAGTTTACTTAATTCCACATTCCAAGTAAATTTAACTTAAAGATTTCTAATTAAAGCTACTGATAAATATGTTTAGGTTTTTACTTGGCAAATCTTTGTAAATTTACTAGCATTTTCTGAGTGAGATGGTTTAGCAAGGTTTTTTCAAGTAAATCCTACTCCAAATTTTTTACAGTGCACTAAACCCACCCCCAAATCATTGTTGTCAGTTATTGGCTGGAACAGTGTTTGTTTTGTTTCGTGGAGTGGGTTGCCGCAGTTTGTTTTTGTTGCCATTTGTGGAGCCTGAGGTGTCTTCAGAGACTTCGTTTTTGTACAGTGTGTTCAGCTAGCGGATCGTGAGGATATGTTTGCTCTATGTGACGAAAAATTTTTGGCCTAAAAAAACGTAAACATATTCTGTCATGACAATTTATAAATTGCGTTCCCAGAGGAGGGGTTTATGTAAATTTGAGGGTTGGCGATGTCACTAACCCAGGAGGAATGTTGTGTACTCCCTACCAGCCATTTGTTAGTCCTTAAAAAATGATTTCTTTAAAAGCAAATATCTTCCTTTGCTTTGAACTTTGAGCGGTGTAACTTTGCAGACGTTGTTTATGCTCAAACAGCAACATTACACACTAAATAAAGTTAGAAAAGTGAAATCATATTCAACCACCCCTTTAAAGTAACTGGTATAGTAACGTATTACTTTTCAATTTACAACAAATTTTTTTAATTTTGATAATTTGATAATTTTCAATTAATTATATCAGTAAAAAGAACACAAAGGAATCAAAACAGTTAAACGCAAACCTACAATACGTATGTTAAATTTCACAAAGATACAGAACTTTATGCATTTAATCTCACTTTATTAACCAATTTGCTGCTGACCTTTGATTATTCATTTCAACTATACTAATAAGCAAACATTACTTTATAAACCTGACATTTGTTTTTGTTTTTTTATTGTTTAAGTAAGTGTAGATCTTTCTTCTCATGTGACTTATTCCTTTGCAATCCAGAATGAAAGCACTGAAAGTTTTTTTGTGCTGCGCAATCTACTGTAAGGGTGTGAATTTGCATTTCCTTCAGCCTGAGGCTTATTAATTTCACTTTTGTTGCATAAAGGTTTTACATTTGCCAAAGATTTACATTTTACATTGGTATTTAACATCAAAATTAAAGACCCAGTGCAGATCAGGAAAAGTAGCTCAAAAGTAAAGTAACACATTTCTTTCCTTAAAAATGTGAGTAACGCAATATCTATTACTTTTAAAAGTAACTTTCCCCAACATTTCATACCATGAGAAATGTCTCAGGCGGAACTGACCACAGATAAAACACTCCTCACTGCAAAATCGACCCTGCTCATCACACAGACAAAAAAACATAATGAATAGCGATGTTACCATGACGGCTAATCTATAAACTTAATTTTCTCTTCAAGTTGAGAAAGAATGAGAATGATGCAATAGTGTTAGTGAATTACAGTACTGTGAGAGTTGTCTTCTTTGGTCAGTTACGCAGGAGTTGTTTCTTTCATTGTGAGATAAAAAAAAAACATCCGATAACATATGTGTATTTTTGATAGAGCTGACGACCCCTTGGAGCTCCCACCATGGCAACAAAGAAGAGTCCATGTCTGATGCAGAGGACCAATGGATCAAGAAGAAAACAAAGCATCTGCACACTCTGGAATTCATTACTGATGAAAAAAGACTTCTGAATCTTTCTCTTTTTGCTCATATTAACCTCTGAATGTTAAGTTCCAAAACATCCATATAGATGCAGTGCAAATGGATAGGACAAAAACTTCAAAATCCCTTACACTGCATATATGTATTCTGAGATAGCCAATGAAATAAATAAGTTTATTTAATGTTAGCTGTCAATTTAACGGACTGAGGCACTGAAAAGTCCTTTAAAAAAATGAGTAGACCAAAATGATCAAATGAATGCTTTGAAGAATTGGTGATGCAGTCCAAGGAAAAGTTCCTCTTCAATGGGGCGACATATTATCTGACTTTAAGGTAAGTGTAGAGTGTGTATTTGTGTCTGTGTGTACTAGTGTATCCATAGTGTTAGGTGTTTACATGTGTGTATATGGCTCAGTGATCGGCTCAGTGTGTGACGCAATTACACTTTGTCCCAGCCTTTACAAACCTAATCCAATTAGAATATTTGTCAGTAACCAGGGTCAGCTGTCTGTAACTCTCTGAGCATGTACACTCTAAAAAGTCCAATGGGTTCAATGTTAATATGAAGAATTCTTCCGTATTTTTTTCAGGTGTTCTCCCGTAATTAGAATTTTGCATTGCACTGTGTGCATGAAATGGATTGTTGGGTTAGGGTAGTTAAGGTTAGGGTTAGGTCTTTTCTTCTTTATTGTGAAGTATATCTGAGTGGGACAACTTTTATTAGAGCGGGACTTTATTTTGTCTTCGGGAATTTAATCATAGGAAGTTAACAGTATGCTGACAGTTGTGGGGGATATTTAGTCCCACCCTCCCCTGAGATGTACTTTATTTAAGGTGCAACATTTGTTCAAGGCAGAACGTAGGTCGTAAGCTCTCGTAAGCAGCATTCGAACCTCAGTTTATTCTTGCAAAAGGTAAATCGTGGTACAACAGCTTGTCACTGGGACAGTAGCTTTAAAGGGACATCTTTGTATCTTATTTACCCGTAAAAGTAGTACTTAAGGTTATATATTACCACACTGAGGTAGTAAAATGCACCTTTTAGAGGTGGATAAGGTACAAAGTTGTCCTGCTATTTCATTCCAATAGAGTGCCGAAGTGATGACGTCACTTTGTAGGACAACCCGGAAGCTAGCGGCGCATGGGTTCCCTCGGTCGAAAAGCAATGCATTTTCCCCATAGACTTTTGGAAAATCGCAAAAAATAAGATCTGTGTTTAACAAAGGGTTGTGACCCTTACACGTTTTGTCTAGCAAGATAATCTTTACAAGTTAATCCAAAATTTATACATTTCGAAGCCTAGGCTATATAAAGATTTTAAAAAACACAATCAGACACAATAAAGTTTAAAAAACCACAACCAGGTTATAACTGTGTGTTCTATGTCAGAGATCAAAACGTGAAAATATTTAGAGGCTCTGTTCACCAGAGACCTTATTTCAGGCGATTTAGCAAAAACCCATTCAAAAATCCCATAGAGCGAGGGAACCGTAATGCTAAAATGCGAACTCACTTCCGCGTTTTGGCCTACAGAGTGACGTCGTAACTTTGGCACTCTATTGTTACTTTAGGTTAGCCTGACTTCGTCCTACTCATATTCTATTCAGAATGTGAGTCTGATACTGCTCCATAGGGCTTTGATTATTATGAGGCGTGTCTTAATCGAAACAAGAAAAAAAAAACCTCTGCACTCAATTGGATAGATCTACAAGATAGATCTAGATATTGCAAAAAATAATTTAAGGATTCGAGTACTTGCAAACTCGAAAAACATTTTTTTAATGCAATAGAATGCAATGTATATACAAACAAATTCTCCGTTTAGGATTAGATCTCGACAATAAGGCCAACAAATCTGCTCGCATTTGTCTCAACCTGTCTCAACTTTTTAACATGGTTGGAGCACAACTTGACCGATTTTAATAAATGGAGTGACGACGAAAGATTCCAGGCTGAAGAGTGTTCATTTGAGTCTTCAGAGAAAAGAGACCGAGAGGCAAAATTACGTTAACAATGTATTTAATGATGATTTAAAT